AGATCTAATCCCTTGAATCTATTTCTCACTTCCACTGTATAATCGTAAGGGATTTGATTTAGGTCATACCTGAATGGCCTAGTGGTTTTCCTTACTTTCTTTAATTTAAGTCTGAATTTGGCAATAAGGAGTTCATGATCAGAGCTATAGTCGGCTCCCAGTCTTGTTTTTGCTGACTGTATAGAGCTTCTCCATCTTTACCTGCAAAGAGTATAATCAATCTGATTTTGGTAATTACCATCTGGTGATGTCCATAATTAGAGTCTTCTTTTGTGTTGTTGGAAGAGTGTGTTTGCTATGACCAGTGCATTCTCTTGGCAAAACTCCTTTAACCTTTGCCCTGATTCATTCTGTACTCCAACTCCAAATTTCCCTGTTACTCCAGATGTTTCTTGACTTCCTACTTTTGCATTCTAGTCCCCTATAATGAACAGGACATCTTTTTTGAGTGTTAGTTCTAGAAGGTCTTGATGGTCTTCAAAGAACCTTTCAATTTCAACTTCAAATTCTTCAGGATTATTCATTGGGGCATAAACTTGGATTATTGTGATACTGAGTGGTTTGCCTTGGAAACGAACAGAGATCATTCTGTCGTTTTTGAGATTGCATCCAAGTACTGAATTTTGGATTCTTTCATTGACTATGAGGCCTACTCCATTTCTTCTAAGGGATTCTTGTCCACAGTAGTAGATATAATGGCCATCTGAGTTAAATTCACCCATTCCAGTCCATTTTAGTTCTCTAATTCCTAAAGTGTCGACATTCATGCTTGCCATCTCTTGTTGACTGCTTCCAATTTACCTTGATTCATGGACCTAACATACCAGGTTCCTAAGCATTATTGCTGTTTACAGCATCTGACTCTACTTTCATCACCAGTCACATCCACAACTGGGTGTGGTTTTTGCTTTGGCTCCATCTCTTCATTCTTTCTGGAGTTATTTCTCCACTGATCTCCAGTAGCATATTGGGCATCTACTGACCTGGGGAGTTCATCTTTCAGTGTCCTACCTTGATGCCTTTTCCTGCTGTTCAGGGGTTTTCAAGGCAGGAATACTGAAGTGGTTTGCATTTCCTTCTTGAGTGCACCACATTTTGTCAGACCTCTCCACCATGGCCCGACCGTCTTGGGTGACACCTCACAGCAGCTCTCAGTTTCATTGAGTTAGACAAGGCTGTGGGCCATGTGATCAGATTGGTTAGTTTTCTGTGTGATTGTGGTTTTCAATCTGTTTGCCCTCTGATGGAGAAGAATAAGAGGCTTATGGAAGCTTCCTGATGGAAGAGACTGACTGAGGGAGAAAGGATCTTGTTCTGATGGGCGGGGCAGTACTCAGTAAATCTTTAATCCAACTTTCTGTTGATGGGTAGAGCTGTGTTCCCTCTCTGTTATTTACCTGTTATTTTCCTTATCTTATCCTAAGTTAAATCAATGATCTAATTCTAAAAGTATACAGAGATGTCATAATTGTCCTACAACCAATATTACAGCGTGGAAAGAGTGTAAACCATGTAGATTCATATCTATCAAGTCACTTTGGGGAAAGTCTTGCAAATACTGTCTCCCTCATTGTACAAAATGAGAACTCTGTCTTGCTGAAAATAAGACCACAAATGTAGTAATAGTTTATGGATATATAATTAATGCAACTCATTATGTTCTTCATTGCCTATAGTTTGTTCATAAAAGACCACAAGCCATTGAGTTCTTGGCACATAACTCTGACACTCAAAAATAAAATGTGTTAATATTTATTTTAATGATTTTTAAAAGATCTTTGTGTATGTTCATTGTTTGCTTCAGTCACATTAATTTATACATCTGAAATTTTAAAATTCTTTCAAAATTGTAATCATAATTTCTTGATTTCTTGGTTTGAAATACTTCCACAGGATAAACCCTAATGGAAGAAAGTAACTTTCTTTCTGCACTCAATCCAAGATATGTTTTTACCAGTCATTAATCTCACTTTTAATGAGCATATAGTGTTTATCAAACATTGTTTTGGATACTGGGGATTTATAATCTCCCTCCTCTTGGATTGTACTGTCAAATTATTCTTTGATGGTTTGAAAAATAATAATAATAATAATGAAGATGTTCTTTACTTCATGGCATTTGGCCTATTGTCAGATTGGGAAAGTATATAAATATGTGTGTTTATTAATAGGAACATTTATTGAAAACGTTTATCAGGGAAAAGATAATAAAATATATGAAAGATTAATGTACACTTTAATGGATACATGAACTTTGAAAAGACTGTCCAAACTGAAAATTTGGAAAATTATATTATTTTTTCCATTGAATTCTTGATAGGTATAACATGAAGGAGAAAATATCATTTTTAGATAATTATATTAACATGTTCACTTAATAATGGACCTCAACTCATTTAAGTTTTGTCTGTCCAATACATATTATTATTTACTCTGATTTTTTTAATTTATTTTTTAATTGAAGGATAACGGCTTTACAGAATTTTGTTGTTTTCAACTGTGAAACATCAACATGAATCAATCATAGGTGTACATATGTCCCCTCCCTCTTAAACCTCCCTCCCATCTCCCTCCCCATCCCACCCCTCTAGGTTGATACAGACCCCCTATTTGAGTTCCCTGAGACATTCAGCAAATTCCCATTGGATATCCATTTTACATATGGCAATTTAAGTTTCCATGTTCCTCTCTCCATACATCAAGACTAAAGAAAGATCTACATTTGCTCCTTATTTGTTGATTTGTTATATATACCAGAATTTATGCAGATTATGCCTATTTATCGGTTGAGTAGAGACACCAAATTTTAATAGCTTTTAATCTTTAAAATGCTGTTTTCTAATTTAGGGAATGCTTAAGTGAATACATTTTATGTAGCTCCTTTCTAGACATACGAATGTCTTAAAATACATAAAAGATATTTCTCATCAAGTGCAGAGAAAAATCAAAGATAGTTTTAACATATAATTTAAACTTTCAGTGGTATTTCTGGGTTTTCAATTAGCTTAGACTGTGAGCATGAAATGAGGAATTTAAGATGATTATGTTTCCCCAATTATCTAAAATAATCTCTTGAGTAAAACAATCTATCCTAGCCCGCAAATATAATTTTGCTTGATCAACTTTTGTCTGTGTTGGCATTCATTATCATAATATGCCTTTGCTGGTCAATTACATCTTTTTCCAACTATTTATAAATATGTCACTTGCAGAATGAGCTTTGTTTCCCATCTTTTTAAAACTGCAGGCTGTTATTAGAGTGTTGATATCCATCTCTGCATTTAAAAAACAAAAGACCTACCAAGTATACCTGTCTCCACTCACTCAGTTTAGTTTGGGGCAGACATCAGGGATTCATGGGTATGTGTGCTTCAAAGGTACATTTTTATGCAGGAAAATTGTGTGACACTTTCTTCAAAACAAATAAAAGTTCAAAGCCACTCAGGTGCCTGGGAAGTGCCAAGGTAACTCTCCAGTTCCTTTTAAATTGGCTCCCCTCAAGCTGCATGGACTGTGGAGCTTCAAAGGAAAAGGATGTCTGTTATTCTCCCTTCAGCCTGCTCAGATTCTATCACTTTTTATGTAACTGGCCTGTTTTACAGGACAAACTTGAAAGAAAGTCAGAAGCTGATGAGCTCAGCGTGAGCCACCTGGGCCCCTAGGAAGTTAAAAATGACACCTCAATTTGATCTCGTAGAGCTCCTGGCCCCGCACACACCCTGCCATCCTCTCTAAAGATAGCCGTGGGGAAAAACATCTGTCCGAGAAAGAAGGCAGTTTTAAGCATGAAAATAAGACTATTAAGTTCTAGAAGATAAGGCTATGAAATCAATATTATGAAGGATATTTAACTCATTGATATGTTTAAAATATATTCAGTAAGAAGTCAATGAATTGTCAACCTTTGTTATCAGCGAGCATGGTCATCATCATAATTATTTTTGGCTAAACCTGAGGATAAATTGCTGTTATCACATTAGATCACATAACTGAGTCTTCATGCTTCAAAATACTTTCTGAAGTAATGAAACAAATATAATCTATAAAAATGATAGCATTGTCTTTCCATAATAGTATAGGACCAATCTCATTGTCAATATCAAGCTCAAAATAAGTTATGTAATTTTTAGAATTAAAAAAATCTATTTTGCTAGCACTTAGAATTGTATCTAGTTAGTGGAATTTAATATCCATGGTATCCATCTAGTATATATTGTTTCTTGTTTTGCATTAAGTAAAAGTAGCTGGATCACTGTGACATTCAGATACTAGTATAAGAGAAATATCCTTTAAAGTATCTTAAAAGTCAGCCATGGATATATTTTAGAAAAGCTAAAAATTAATTAAGCCACAGTGCCATTCAATTGATTGATTCCTTAATAAATGCCTTAATCTGTGATACATATCACCTGTATACATAGAATTAATGATAAATAAGAAATTACTACAATCCTAGATGTGCTTATGCCTTATTGATAAGAAAATACCCATATTGGTTTGAAATCTAAAGAAACCTAAAAATTTCACTTATTAAAAGTACATGCATTAACACACAACCACAACTTACGTAAAAAAGCATTTTGTATATGTTCTAGGAAGTCAACAAAAAGAATTGTTATCAAATGTTTGCTGTTGTATTTTTTAAAAAAACATTCCAAATTTGTATTTCCAGATAGAACTGGGAATATTTTCCCAATTTTTAAGAAAGAAATTAAGAGGAATCAACTTAGTTTACAGTCTCTTGCAATTTTAATAAAAGCATTAGCAATTAAATTTTGAATAATGTCCCTTCTTGTAAATCTAAATATAGGACAATCCAAATTGTTTTATTAATAGCCAAATGTAATCAGGAGAAAAAATGGGTTTTTAATAAATGACCATGCCAGTAAAATCATATAGAAGGTAAAGTGTATTTTAAAAGCAAAACATTGGCAAATGTGCCTTTAAAAAAAATCTATGAATTGTAACATAAGACTTTATTATTTGGACTTTCATTCCAGGTGAAATTTACCCCAAGATGTATCACATCTGTTTCTTTCTGGTGACATATATGGCACCACTGTGTCTTATGGTGTTGGCCTATCTACAAATATTTCGTAAACTTTGGTGCAGACAAGTAAGTAATTTCAAATACTTTTCTTGTGTTTTCTTTACAATGTCCTTGAAAACAAAATTTGAGTGAATTGAACCAATATAATGTGTTTAGCAAAGGATTGTGTGTTCTTCTAATAACGTTTTCCACTAAATAATGAAGCCTAGTCATGAAAATGGGCTCCCCTGGTGACTCAGATGGTGAAGAATCTGCCTGCAATGCAGGAGACCCAGGTTCAATCCCGGGTTGGGAAGATTTCCCTGGAGAAGGGGATGGTTACCCATCCAATATTCTTGCCTGGTCTAGGCATTTTAAGGGTGATATTTAGGAAATGTTATTTTATGAACTGCCTTAATGGCTAAATTTTAAACCTCTGTGATAATTAATTGACTTGATTTTTGTCTAGGACTAATATTATACATTTTACTTTTTATGAGAAATAAATAAAAATTCCTTTAAAATTTCCTGAGACTGCAAGCAAATATTTATATAATGCATTTTTATTATGTGAGTAAATCTCCAACTTCAAAGATTTTATTTTGGTTAGAAGAATCAGGCAGAATTGAGAATTTTAGAAATTGTTTATAATGCTGATTTGAGAGTACTGAAATTTGTTATATAATTTTGCTCTGTATTCATTCACTCAGTTTATTCATTCATCAAATGTTTGCATTTCTTTCACATACATGTCTGATAAAAGTTCCAGTCTGTGGCACTGATGAATTCATAGTTTAGAAGAAGGAAATAGTCAGTTGCAGGATAAAAATCACCTTAATAAGTATAAGCCACAGGAGATCAGAGGAAAGCTTAGTGGAGGTGGATCTAATTCTGACCAGGTAACATTTAAATTGAATTTTGATGAGTTGAAAGAAATCAAGGAACATGTAGTGGTTCATAAAGAGACAGACAATGGATATAACTCATCTTCTTATACTTGCAAATTGTTTCTTAAAATGCTACATTTCTCAGAAATGTATCTATCTCTTTTCCTAAAGTTATTGCCAGTATTTTGAGTTTGTGGAAAGCCATGTTCTTAGTCTGTTGGCTTTGACATATTTTATCCAACTGAAAGAATTTACTGGGCCACTTTCCTCATTAAAAGAATTTCATGAAACTTTTATTTGGGGGTGAATATGAGTCTTAATTTGGATCTTCTTCATCCTTTATTATTCAAAGCAATTTTCACAATCATCTTTTATCCTTCGCATGGGAGCAACATTTGCACTTTTCAACCCTGTATGTCTCCAAATGTTTCCTTTTCTTCAATTTTTTAAGTCAATTCTTTTCTGACCTTATAAATGCATTCTGTTCCCCAATCTTTGCAATTAAAATAACAAATGTGTATCACTATAAGTCACGAATGATGATTTTCCAGATCCTAGAGATAATTTCCTCAACACTCTCCACCTGGCCATGAAGTCAACTGCAAATATTTTAGTGTTTTTTTTTTTTCTTTTTCCTTTTGTACCCCAACTTCTGATAAGTATTGTCATACTCTTCCATTTTTGCTCAGTTATTCTGCTGTGAAAAAGCCCAAGGTATGTGGTTTGCAACAGCTTATTTCGTTCATGTTCTGTATCAATGGTGAGGATGACTGTGGCTGTGCTCCCCTGGTCTTCTCAGTTCAGAACTTCATCCAAAGGAGCAGCACTCTCCTGAGTGTGCCATTTTGGGATCCAGGGAAAGGGCAAGAGGGCTGGAAAAAACATGCAAATTCTTTGAAAATGTTTGCTTTGAACTGGCACATGCTAAGTCTCCTCACTTTTCATTGGCTCAGACAAGTTATGTGGTTAAGCTTGAACAAATGGAGTTCTCCTTGCAAGCTGGGGAAGTGAATGGACAGAGCTGATATAATACAGAAATTTAAAACAGACTGAAGGTCCAGACTGCATCAGTTTAAATCCTAACACTTCAGTTTAGCACATGCATGAATTCTGTCAATTACTTAAATTTCTGTGCCAAGTGGGATACATAGCATTCAGCTCACAGAGTCGATACACTTAGATGGATCAATTCAAGTGCCTCACACGTGAAAAGTGCTTGTTAAAAAAAAATCTTCATAGTATATGCTGTTATTTGGCCTTTCAACTCACTCTGCTTATATTTCTAAAATAACAAGCATGTTTTGGTTGATTTTTGTTACTTCTTTCTTAGACCTCTTTCATAGTCCTTTTATGTAACATGATAATGATTTTTTGTCTGTTCTAATCTACTAAGACAGAGAGTGTACAGACTAGTCTTTATCTTTTAGCCCTATGACTAGAACCTGCTTAGCACATTCCAGTTGCTCAATAAATACTTTATAAGAAAAAAGTTAGTGGGAGAATGAGAGAAAGTGCTGGGAAAGTTTTGATAGATGAGCAAAGAGGGGAATCCAGTGTTCAGTCACTGAGAACAAAGTTCACAGAAAAATTAGAAAACACATTGGTGAGCATGTAGGCATAAAAATATTGTAGATTTAGGTTGACATTTTAATGAGAAATATTCCCAGTGTTAAGTGCATCCCTACTTCCATATTTTTACTTGTTAGTATACATTAAATATAACAGATGCTTATATTTGTTTATTTATTTATTTACAGAATGACACAACTTCCAAATTTCTTGTATGTACATGAATCTGTTTTGCTCATCATCTTCCCAACACTCAACATGTTAGCTTACACCAAAAAAGTATTCCAAAAGTACTTGTTAAATAATTATATAACTGCCAAATCCCAACCAGTTTACGTCTTCATTATAGTTCTCCATTTCTCAAACTCTAAAGTAAGTTCAAAACTACATTGAAGATTTAGAAAAAGTCCATTGTGTGTGTGTGTGTGTGTGTGTGATGAATCGTCCTGATTAGTACAGGCCACATGATCCAGAAGATTTGCAATAAAATGCTTGGGCTGTGAAACTAAAAACATTTACAAACAGATTGCAGTGGAAAACAACGAGTTCATCTGAGCTCATTTTAGCAATGATGATAAAGTAAATTAACCTCAAGTGGTGATTGTGTAGAATTCTTCTTGAACAACTCTCAAATTCCAACTGTGAATGTCTATAAACAGAATTCCAAGGCATTACATGTGCCATAGGCCACATCAAGTGAGCCATCAAACAGAGGTCCTGTCCTATTTGCTCAAAATTATAGAAATGCATGGAATCTGTTACATTCTTTGAAATTTCTAAGTGTAAGTTTATTAGGGAACCCAAGTGTTTGTCCTTGTTTGACTTTCTCAAGGATTTTAAACCTCATTGAAAGAACTACCCAATGCTTTACTCTAAACAAGGCTTAAATCTTCTTTTTGAAAATGTGACTCAGAGAATTCAGTCAGTTTAGAAATTCTACAGACTCTAGAACTCCTCTTTCTAAGACTCACTAAATCTTCACTCTTGTGCATCTGACAACATTTTTTTCAGTTCTAGCTGTATATAATTCAACACTTCAATCTTATCATGTGAACTCATGCCAATTCATCCCACACATATTTATTGACAACTACCCTGTGTCTGGGACTTTGTGAGAAGCTAGGGATGAACTGTACTGATACTTGAGTCTGGAACTGAATTTCCATGGGCCTTCCCTGATGGCGAAGTGGGTAAAGAATCTGGGCGACACAGTAGGTGTGAGTTTGATCCCTGGATTGAGAAGAACCCCTGGAAAAGGGAATGGCAACCCACTCCAGTAAATTTGCCTGGGAAATCCCATGGAGAGAGGAATCTGGTTGGCTCCTCCATGGGTTTGGAAAAAGTCAGACATGACTAAGCAGCTAACTCAAGGATTGAAATTTTGAAAGAATTACTCGTTCCATTTCTTATCACATTCTCTTCTGCTACCCTTTATTCTCCAATATTCTTCAAAAAGAACTTAAAATAATTAATATTAGATGGTAATGAGTCAGTCTAGTATAAGGAAATAAACAGCAAATTGTAATTACAGAGGCAGAATCAAATGCCAGTAACTTAAGTTCACACAGAGATAAAAATAATTATGTATGTAAATATAGAAGAGTATAAATGTTTTTTGTTTGAAATTCTTTTCTTCTCCTATTTGACTTGAGATAACATTGTAAAGCAATAATTATAAAACTGTGAATCTTCAGCTTATCATGTGTGAAGAAGTAATTCAAATGGAGGAGGGAATGAAGCTATATTGGAACAAAGTTTTTGCATACTATTGAAATTAACTTGACATTAATCCAAACAGATTGTTTAAGTTATTAATTGTAGTCTTCAGGGCAACCACTAAAAAATAACTCAAAAAGAAAATAGTGCAAGAAGCAACAGAATAAAAATTGTACTAGAAAATATCTGTTTAACAGAAAATAAAGAAATAATAGAGGAAGAGAGGAATAAAATAGACCTTATATACATATTCATACATATATTTAGAAAATGGAAACAAAAAGCAAAATGAGAGATGTAAATTATACCTTCTCAATAGTTATATTAAATATAAATGAATGAAGCAGTTTAGACATTGGCAGACTAGATAAACAAACAAGATGATTCAGCTGTATGCTGTCTACAAAAGACACAAATAAATTAAAAGTAAGATAATGAATAAAGAGGTACTATACAAACAGTATAGCACCAGGTGGCACCAGTGGTAAAAAAAAAAAAACCCGCCTGCCAATGCAGGAGACACAAGGGAGGTGAGTTAGATCCTTGGATGGGGACGATCCCCTGGAGCAGGGCATGGCAACCCATCCCAGTTTTCTTGGCTGAAGAATCTCATGGACGGAGCAGCCTGGTGGGCTACAGTCCATGGGGTCACAAGAGTCAGACATAACTGAAGTGACTTAGCATGCAATGCAAACAGTAACCAAAGGAACGTTGAAGTAGGGGCACTAATATTAGATAAAAGAAGCTTAATAAAATGTGTTACTACAAATAAAGAAGGGTATTTCATAATGATAAATCATTCAATTAAGAAATTCTAAACTTATATGCATTTAACAACTGAAGCCCACAATACATTAAGCAAGAGCTAGCAGAATTAGGGACATAAATAGACAATTCAATAATAATAATAAAAAA